AACTTCGCCCAGGCAGTTGTTGGAACGGCGTTATCCAAGACCTGACGGTTTTTGTTCTGGTCTCGTTGTTCTTGTGATTTCATTGACTTTCTATCTTAAATTATATTTTCTATTATCCAAAACCGATTTTAGTTTCAGTACGTTTCATTGAACCTAAATCTTTTGCGCAATTACCAATAAATCATCATTCCTACCCAGTCATGTATATTATTATTATTATTATTATTATTATTATTATAAGTGAGATCGCAGCACGTCAAAAAAGTGACGCTGGGGTACAAATATACAAAAATCAATATACCCATCATGATACAGACTAAGAAGATTATAGAGATTTTCTAAGTGTAGGTTAGAGGTGGCACAAGGTCAAAAGCATAGGGCACCTAGTGAGGAGAGAAATCACTATTCAGTCGTAATTGATCTAGCGAGACAAGCCATTGCATCACGTCGAAGTGCCCAAATGATTTTCTAAGCATACCTTAGATGTGGCTCAAGGCCAGTAGTATGGGGCACCCAGTGAGGATCAAACTAACCATTCCATCATGTCGAAGTGCCCAGTCTAATAAGTGTATAGACCTGCACGCGATATATTAACAGTACTTAACCATGCAGATGATTCCTGGTAGGAAAAGCTTCAGGTCGATTAACCAAGTCCACTCAGACTGTCTCCGATTGAGAATATTATCTAATATCTGATTCCCATGTCGCCTTTGCTGCCTCGTCGTTCATTTAAAAAAAAAAAAACTCTCTTGTCATCCGATCATGATGTTCACTCACTACTTCCGGTTGACGATCTGAGATGCACAAGCCCATGCGTAACTGATTAATGTCAATTAAATAGCCAGCAAATCTGTCACACAGAACGGGATCATATACTGTCTATATTAATTCCCCAAGACATTTAAGATCGGAGGCCATAATAGCCATACCTTCTATAGCAACGAGGCATAAATCTGCCATTCGTCCGTGTATTGAATATTGCAGCTATATCTGGTTTGATACTCCTGTTATATACCGCAAGATTCTCGACAAATCCAAATAAATATCTGTAACGTTAAGGGTTCTGACCTGGCATCTCGACATCCGTCACTTCCCCACCGTCGTGGCGTCGCTTCCCTCCGTTTTTACTATAAATATTTTCATGGCTACTGTTCCAATCAGCTCACAACCTTGGTACCTTGGTTGCATGGATTTAAGCGGAGATTGGGCAATAGATTTCATAGTTTTACTGTTGAAATAGCTAGATGAAACCGCAAGTTCTATTCTAACAGTTTCTTTTATCGCACTACACACCTGTAAAATGATCTCCCGTTTTCTTGCTTCCCTGCGTTCTTCAAAAAAAAAAAGTTAAAAGCAACCTTAATAGATGCCTTCTGTCTTTCTGGATTCTGTTCTTTTATTGTCCTTTTCTCTTTAAAGTTTTCTCATTCTCTTTCAATACTAGTAAATCCTTGAATCTTAGAGACATTATCGCCTTGCTTAGGGCAAAGTGATTAAAAAAGTAACTGATAGAGAAGCACACAATGGAAATAACACCAGGGTACTGATATACGAAGCCCAACATCTCCATCACATAATCCAGTTTGATAAGAGTATATCAGTGTATGCATCACATCCAAATGATGGTGAACGGTTTTGATAAATGCAGCGCATAATTTTGCGGAGGGGGGTCCAGTTAGAAATACATTTAGTTAGAATAATCTCGCCCTTTGGCTAGTTGGAAACACCATCTATCAGGTTTAGTTTGGTTTGGTTTGTTTTACGGCATTTGCTGGTAATAATTGGTTTTGTTTTTCCAAAAAATGTGTGGCTATTAATAATTTCTCTTTTCCAAAAATGAATTTCTGGTATTAAAACGTATTTTTATATTTCAAAATGTTTTGACCCCCTTTTTTATTTCCCCATAGCTAGAACCCTGACAGGTACAACCAGCCCCGGTCTGGGTGGACCTAGGAACACCGGCAATTAAGAGGTGGTTCCACGTTCTTCAAAACCTCCTGATCAGAGGCTTGCTGCTGGATGTAGTTTATCGTCTTACCCGGGACTCATATGTGGTTTATGGTGACACCCAGGAGGGCCATCTATCAGGTGCTTCCAAGTATCCAGATGTGATTTCCAAGTAGCTTTGTTTGCTTCTAACTTGACAAAAACATAACCGCTCGACACCTGGCTACTTCTACTTTTTTCATGGAACGATATGCACAGTACCTCAGTCCAGAGGACATGCTTAAATTGGTAGGGTCATGAAACCTGACAAGTAAAACGGTTGTACTAAACGGGATTTTTAATGTAGCGTCTCTACATTCACCAAGACAAAACACCTGCAATCAATTAGGATTAGAAGCCATGGCAAACGTGCTTGCTGTAGCATCAGGGTATTTATTAGTAGCAGTAGTATAATTACTATTAGTAGTAATAGTCTCTAATAGTGTTAATGATAAAGATTAGGAAAGTTATTTTATTTGTATTAGTATCATAGAAAATAGTAAAGTTGTTTCCTGTCTCACAACATCAATTATTTTTATGCAATTATGAAACGAACCACGAAAACTAAATCAGTATTTGTAGTAATTGTGAACTTTTATAGAACCCAATATAAACAGCCTCATAGGTTCAAAGGCTCCCGATATGTCAACTGTTAACCTATAAATAGGGAAAGATTCGTACCCTTCCGTATGACATACTGATGGCATATACAATGGACCCATCATAAAAATTCAGAATGTGGTATTATTAAATGCTAAACACTTTAAACAACTCGGGTATGACTATAAGAATTAAGGAAATTTAACACAGGATAAGTTTTTAATCATTTCACCCCGAGCAAGGTAATGAAGTCACTAAGACACAAAGGGTTTACTGGGCGTTAGAGTCTATGAGAAAAAAACAATTATTAGGGAGGGAGAACAAGAAAAGAACAAGAATTAAGAAGATAGACGATAACGATAGACGTTGAATTGAAATTTTTGAAGATCAAAGTTGACTGGAAAGCAAGAAACAGGAACAGAGTTCCACAAGCAAGAAGTGCGAGAGAAGAAACTGTCAGCGTAGAACTTACGGTTCCATCTCGTCATTTCAAGTGTAAAATGATGAGACCTTACCGCCAATCTAGTACTGCGCTTAAATTCATAAAGTCTAGGTACCATAGAGGAAGGTTAGAACAATTACGATTCTTGAAAATGACCGAAGCTGAGATGCCAGAACAGGACAAATAATATTGCAGATTTAGCATCGCCAAATTCTACAAAACCAAAATACCAACATATGTTCTTAAATAGCTTCATCAATATATAAAAACTCCTTCAGCTATGTGTGTGTTTGTATCTATACTATCAGCTAAACCCAATAGTTTTCTCAGATCAGTGATTAAAATTACTTCAATCGAATGAATGCACTAGGTATTAAAAAGACAATACCTCATCAGATCTCATAGAATACAAAATATCTACAAAATCACAAGCATAAAACAAAATCACAAACATAAAACATTACTAAATGACATAACCACATTACTTGAAGAGTTTCAACAGGCGCAACAACTAAAATAGATGGCACATGTAACCCGAAGGGAAAATGATGATATAATAGAGATATTCACTTTCCACACTACCTCAAACAAAAGGTTAGGAAGGAAACTCCTTTCAATACTAGAAAAAGTGATAACAGCAAACTTGGAAAGTTTATTTTCCTGTTTTATTATTCTATATATCGTGTTCATTCAGAAATCTGGCGATCATGGCTCTCCACAATTTCCTGTCCTTTAGTTTAATAAATACTGTCTTTTTGTTTTCTCTCCTACAACTTGCCCGCCATCCATTTACTCAATCTCATTAGGTAGGTTATGTGTTGTTTTCCCCACTACCTCTTGCCTTAAATCCGTCTTGTGGGTATGAAATTTCCCAAGTCTTCTTTCCTCATTATATGCCCTACATGCTTCAACTATCTCGTCCTGGTGTATATGTATCCATTTTATTTCCATTTGCACTAAACATGTTCGTTCCATGGTATTCTTAGCATCATTCTGTAGACCAACATTCTTCATCTGTGAGCATATTGTCCAGTATTTATTGCTATATAGGAAGACTGATATTACATAACCGTTCAATACTCTTGGCTTCTGTCATTTCACGTCTCTTCCCGTCCTGGGTATGACGATAAACTACACCCAACAGCAAGGCCTCTGATCAGAAGGTTTTGAAGAGCCTGGAACCACTTCTTAATTGATGGTGTTCCCGGGTCCACTTTGCCACGGGGTGGTAGCCCCTGTTAGGGTCCCCGCCATGGGCAAAGAGTTAACCCTCAAAGTGGGGTCAAAGTAGTATGAGAAAATTATAAATTTCAGTCTAAAAAAAAAATAAAAATTTGAGCCTAAAAATATAAATTTCAGTCTAAAAATAATAAATATCAGTCTAAAAAATTGTAAATTTCAGCCTAATAAATTATAAATGTCACCCTAGAAAGAATATAAATTTCAGCCTAAAAATATAAATTTCAGTCTAAAAAGTTATAAATTGTAACCTAAAAGAATTATTAATTGCAGCCTAAAAAATTATAAATTTCAGCTTAAAAAATTATAAATTTCAGCCTAACAAATATAATTTTCAGCCTAGAAAAATGATAAATTTCAGCTCCAAAAATTACAAGTTTCAACCTAAAAAAATTATAAATTTCAGCCTAGAAAAATTATAATGTTCAGCCCAAAAACTTATAAATTTCAGCCTAAAATTTTATAAATATCAGCCTACACTTATGTTAGCTGTTCAGTTTATGAATGTCGTATGTTTGGTGTGGAGACGATTCATCTTACAATTATCATTATTCGAAAGTGAACGTAAACAGCCCTCTCCGGGATTTCAACCCAGACTGCAAATTCCATTCCCTGTTCAGTAATCTGTTCATATCAAGGAAGAAAATTACTTATACAATAAGTGATGGAGGTGAATCAGAGGTTCAATAACAACAAAGCAACATTAATTGACGATGTTGATAATGGTGATAACAATGTTGATGAGGGAAAAGGGGAAAAGGGGAGGAGCGAAGGAAAAGGGAGGAAGAAGAAGAGAAAAGAAATGAAGAAGAATAACATCGGAAAAACGCGACGAGAAAGTGGAGGAAAAAGGGGAGGAATAAAAGAGGAGGAGCAAGAGGAGAAAAAGGGGTGGAATAAAAGAGGAGGAGCAAGAGGAGAAAAAGGGGAGGAATAAAAGAGGAGGAGCAAAAGGAGAAAAAAGGGAGGAATAAAAGAGGAGGAGCAAAAGGAGAAAAGGGCAGGAATAAAAGAGGAGGAGCAAGAGGAGAAAAAGGGGAGGAATAAAAGAGGAGGAGCAAAAGGAAAAATATGGGAGGAATAAAAGAGGAGGGGCAAAAGGAGAAAAAGGGGAGGAATAAAAGAGGAGGAGCAAGAGGAGAAAAAGGGAGGTACAAGAAAAGTAAATGAAAGGATCAAAGTGTGAAAGAAGATAAAAACGGGAGAAACAATAAGAAGAAGAAGAAGAAGAAGAAGAAGAAGAAGAAGAAGAAGAAGAAGAAGAAGGAGCAAGGAGTATGGGGGGGGATAAGAGAAAAAGGTGGAAATAAATTTCAGCCTAAAAAATTATAAATTTTAACCTGCAAAAATTATAAATTTCAGCTTAAAAAATTATAAATTTCAGCCTTAAAAAATATGATTTTCAGCCGAGAAAAATTATAAATTTCAGCCCAAAAAATTATAAATTATAGCCTAAAAATTATAAATTTCAGCCTAGAAAAATTAAAAAGAGCAGCCAAAATAATTATGAATTTCAGCCTAAAAATTATAAATTTCAGCCTAAAAATTATAAATTTCAGCCTAAACGAAGAGCAAAGAGTATGGAGGAATAAGAGAAAAACGTAGAATAATAAGGGAAGTGCAAGGAGTGGAGCAAGGTGAGAAACAAGGAGAAATAAGTGAAGAAAAAGAAAGCGCGAACGTAGAATGGCAAGGAATCGGGGGGGTGGGGAGGATAGTAGATAGGGCAGAAAAGGGCAGGAATGAGATGACAGTAAAGCAATTAATTTTTTTTTTAGCGATTCTTTTAGCCACATAGATTTCACGAAACTTGGTATGATCTCTCTTATCACAAACCACACTGATTCCCTTTTGTTTCTTTTTTTTGTTTCGTTTTTTTTGTTTCGTTTTTTTTGTTTCGTTTTTTTTTTTTTTTTTTTTTTTTTTTTTTTTGCTTCCTGATTGAATTAAACGAGAACATTTTATATATGGGAGTCATCCAAGAACAGGAAGCAAGACCAAAGAAAAAAGAACTGTTTATTTATCTAAAAGCCAATCAGAGAAAGACCAAAAGAGGTAAATCTAATCCTTAGCCGCAGTCCTACGATTACCAAACCACCCAACACAAGATCTGCCGCATTTTCTAATTCGAAGTTAACAACATCGGGTAGCCCGAAAAACACGATAGCACTTTCGGTAAACATGAATAAACAGAAGATAGAGAACAACGGAAAGGTAAGGCGAATAGAACAGGGAGTAGAGATAAAGATAAAAGAAAACCCCTGAAGACACGAAGGGGAGCTGCTAAGTAGCAAAAAAAGACATAAACACGAACGTACACAGAAATGCGAATAAAGTTAATGTCAAGATTAACTTACGAATTTTGAAGTATAATTTTGATTTTAAAGATAAACTGATACTGGCTGGACATAAAGAAGACAACGAAGAAGAAGAAGAAGAAGAATTTCGTGATCATGCACATAATCGAAGACACACACACACACACACACACACGGACATTAAGACAAACAAAATTGTACACACAGACACACACACACACACACACATGGAAATTAAGACAAACAAAATTGTACACACAGACACACACACACACACACGGACATTAAGACAAACAAAATTGTACACACAGACACACACACACACACATACACACACGGACATTAAGACAAACAAAATTGTACACACAGACACACACAGAATGATGGGGACAAAGACATTCAGTACGAACGTACACATCGGTACAACACACCTAAACACCTTTAATATAGAGACATAATGACATACATTCATACATTGCGTACACACCCACACACGTTGATAGATACACATATACACTCGCACACAAACATATGCTCACATACACATCTCTATCTATAAAAGGCAGGATGTGTGTGTGTGTGTGTGTGTAACGAATGCACGGCCGCAATTTTCGACGGATTTGCACCAAAATTGACATGCACATGCTCCAAGTTAGCGGGAAGGCCAAGACCGACTTTGCATTTCCCAACTCCCATCGATAGTGGAAATAAGCAATTTTTTCATGCTTCTTCGGCAGTTTTCATGTAGTTTGCAGCCATTTTCTACTCGCCAGATTGAGAGCCTATAGCTGGCTGCCAAGAATGGGCAGGAAGATTCTATTGACCAGCGTGAGAGCCAACAGCTGACTGACACGGATGTTAACTAGCATGCTAGCATGCAAAAAAAATCGATAGCTGCATTCGTCACAAGTGGGAAAAATTTAAATCTGCATGGCATTTTACTCCAATTGGCTCATTCGCTTGCTTAAACTCAACGTTGATTCTGATTCCGCAGAACTGGGTTTGGTTTGAAAAAGTATTTGTTGTTAACATTCTTTTTTATTCGGTTTTTCTAGTTACGAGTCTTTTTTAAAGCTGATCGTTTTGTGTTTATTTTGTTTAGTTCTTTTTTCGTAACAGATTTAATGTTTAGTATAGAGCTTAGAAAAAATTTGCAGTTTGAGATAGGCAAGAAGTAAGGCATGTAGCAACATCAGCAGGGCAAAGGGCACTCCTTTAAAGGCAAGGAAGGGCAAAAATATTTTAAGTCAAGTGATAGCGATTGCTGTATGAGTCGTACAATTTTACAAGCACGGGCAACGCCGGGCCATGCTGCTAGTATACAAATAAACTTGGACCGATTTTAAATGTGAATCAAATTTAAGCGTATTATTTTTTTTTCTTTTTCTTTCAGATTTGGCGGACATTTGGGCGATATTCCAGTCAGGTTTGTGATATTCCCTTACGTACAAATGCCCGCGGGAAAGGTATGAATCCATCTCCCCCAACCTTAAACCATGGGCTAATTAATAAGTTTGCATCACTAAATCATTATTATCTCCCCACCTCTGCAAAAACAAAATCTGACAATCTAGAATATTTTCTGGCTTTAAATAACCTGCAAAGTGTTGATAAGTCGTAAAAAACAAGTCATTCAATCGATCAATTAAATGATCTATTATCACAATGTGGAATATTTAATAACAAAAGTGATAAAAATATAAACAAAAAGAAAACTAAACGCAATCCTCTAGACTATATAAACAAAACACATATTTAAATCACCAAATTTAAATTTAAGTTTCAGCTTCCACTCTCCTTTATGCACTTATATAATCACATCAACGTAAATATATCTTTAGTCCGATGAAGTCCTAAAAGTCGAAACACGTCACATGAAAAGTTTTTTTTTCCACTTTGTCATAGATTTTCCTAACATAAATAAATAAATATTCAATACATCAATGAATATTAAATGGACGTATCACATTGACTGACACCAGAGCTTCATGCTCACCAACGTCAGATGGTTGGAAAAGGCTATTGAATTATTACCAGATCTCATATACCTCAAAACACGTTTGCAATGACAAGGGTAACTGATTTTGATATTATTGACTCAGAGCGAATTAATACATTATCCCAGGCAGAAAAAAACGGAAGAAAAAAAACATGTCGATCAGACATTATTATTTGTTTGTTTTTTATTTTGGTGTGTGTGTGTTGTACCATAACAGTTGAAAACATATGGAAGAGTTTATAGAATTTGCTAAGTAGCAGGCTTTTTTGACGTTAGTTGTTTTTGAACTTCTTCCATTTTACTTTGCGAAGGCAAAATCATCTACGTCAATGTGTGTAGGAGACAACCAGATGCATGGAGGTCTGAGAAATTGTAGGAATGTTTGCCTAGCCATTTTGATAGATAATAAGATTATTGCCTGAATTTACGACAAAAAGAGTTGTCAGGTTAATTGTTTAACTCTTTTGAACTTTGAAATCAAACATGGTGAGAAGGACAACATCTTGACTTTCTTTCCATAAATAAATGATGTTATTCATAGATTTTCTTGAAGCGGTACTGGCGTATCGCCAGAAATCTGACCAAATATGTTTTATACGCCGAGACCCTTCAAGATGCGAGTGATGATAGTTCTCCACAGCTTCTTTTTTCCCTTTGTCTCTCAAGCTTTTAATGTGTCCCGTGAATGTTAAACCCCTTAATCTTTCCTTCGTCATAATGGTTCCCAGAATATTCAGCTATCTTTTTCTGACTGAGGTGTAGAAATTTATCACTTGTTTCTTGTCTTGGACTTGGTTTCCGGTTCATTCTAAAGTTTGCTTTAATTCTATACTTATAATTTCTCCACCTAAAGCACTGAACTTTTAATTTTACTATTTATTTCCTTTTTTTCCCTCAATAGTGGTAGATAGATTTGCCTATCGTCCGGTTCACATCCCTCCTTGGTCTATTGAATAGGGGGAAACGTTTATCCCTTGTTTAGGATTGGGTTTCCGGTTCTTTATATGTCCCTTCTTTTTCACTTTCTGGGCCCCCTTCTGTCTTTATAGCCTTATCACTTTCCTTGGGTGGTACATTTTACTCTGTAACACTCTATCTCGAGTGGAACTTGAGCCTTGTACAGTATGGTCATCATTGTGAAAAAAAAAATAATTTTCCTTTTCGTTTCTATTTTTCGTAAAACTTCCTCGTTGATCACATATTCGATCCATGGTATTCTTAGTAACTTTTTATTAACCACATCGCTGTTTTTGTAAGTCTCGTCTTCATCTGGGAGGAAATTGTCCAGTATGCACTGCCATGTAGCTGACTAAACAGAATTATTGAATGAAAAGATGTCTGTTAAAAACTCTCTTGTATTCTTTCTTCGTTTTCATTATTGTATTAACTTTTCTCCTGTAATGACTTATTGCTTTTAAATATATCGTCCTTTTTGCCCTTTTCTTTCTTTCATTCCTCTTCTTCTTCTTCTTCTTCTTCTTCTTCTTCTCTTTTTATTACTGTTATATTACACTCATTCTTTTCTCGTTTTTTCCTTCTTTCTTTTTTTCTTCTTCTGTTTCATCGTTCGTCTTCCATACCCTTTCTTATTCCCCAACTTTTCTTTTCTTCTTTTTCTACTTCATCATTTGTCTTCTCTTCTTTTCCCCATTCATTCTCTCTTTCTTAATGTCTTTCATTCCTCCGCTTGATCGTTGTCCTCTTTTTCGTTTTTCTCTTTATTTTTGAACTACGTCGTTAGTATTTTTTCTCTTCTTTCTAAATCTCCTCTCTTTCTTTAACCTTCCTCAGCTTCATTATTGCTCTGTGCTTTCATTCCTTCACTCAATTTTCTTTCATCGACCTAATCATTCGTCTTTCATTCTTATATTTATTCTTTTTTTCTTCACTTTTCTTCTTCCACCACATTTTGTCTGTTCTCTAAAACCTCTTTTCCCTCCCTTTATTTTATTTTACTCTTCTTATTCGTTCATATTTTCTTCTTCCTTCTTTTTCTTCTTCACTTTCGTCTGTTCTTCACCTCTCTTTTATTCTCACCTTCTTTTTTCTTTCTCTGTCTCGGTCATCTCTTTCTCTTCTTCTAACTCAACTTCTTTCTTTCTTTTACTCTACCTGTCTATCCATTCATCTCCTTCTCCTCTTCTAATTACTTCATCACTTTTTTCATCATCCTCCCTTTCTCCACTTATTTATTCGCTCCTCTTTTTTTATTTCCTTTACTTATCGTTTTTCTGTTCTCCACCCAATCTTCCCACACTTTTTTTTTCGTTCTGTCATCCTTCGTTCATCTTCCCTTCTTCTTTCCATTCATTCATTCTATTTTTTTTTTTTCGACTCATCGTTCGTCTTTACTTCTTGCTATTCTTTTTTTCTTTTTCAACTTGCCCATTCATCTTTCCTTCCTTCCTTCTATTACTTCCCGCCACTTTTCTACCTCGGCTTTTTCATTCGCTTCTTTATATATTTCTTCCTCCTCCTCCTCCTCCTCCTCCTCTTCTTCTTCTTCTTCTTCTTGCTTTTCTTCTTCTTCTTTTCGTCCTCCTCCTTTTTCTTATCCTCCTCCTTCTTCTTATTTTCCTTCTCCTTCTTCTTTTCCTCCTCCTCCTCCTTCTTCTTCTTCTTCTTCTTCTACTTCTTTTCTTCCTCCTCCTTCTTCTTATCCTCCTCCTTCTCCTCCTCCTTAATCTTCCTCTTCCTCTTCTCCTCCTCCTCGTCTTTCTTCTTCTTCTTTTCCTCCTTCTCCTTCTTCTTCTTATCCTCCTCCTTCTTCTTAATCTTCTTCTTCTCCTCTTCCTCCTTCTTCTTCTCCTTCTTCTTCTTCTTCTTCTTCTTCTTCTTCTATGCCCACCCACATAGAAATATAATGTCGTATGCAACCCTGTTACAGCGACGACAAAAGTTACACACTCATATGCAGAGAAAACGCGGTATACATAAAGAAAAAAAAATAAGAGCAAAAATTGAAAACATCTTGCGGCCTGAAATGTACAGATTCCCACTGTTTATGCGTGTGCACATTGACATACATATGTCCACATCTGCTAAATATCACATAAAAGGGTTCCATTTGTACACCACCATTTGCGCTGACGTCATGTTTTGTTTGACCTTTTGTGTTCAGGTTGCTTTTAGTGAAAG